TTAGGAAAGATATTCGATCATGTGTTACTAATCATTCCATTGGTAATTTTGTTTCTTATGATGCCTTGTCACCTATTTTTTCCTGTTTTATCACGCATCTCTCTACTATCTCTATTCTTAAGACTCTAAAAGGTGCCTTGTTTGATCTGGATTGGAGAAAAGTTATGGAAGTTGAAATAGATGTCTTACATCAGAATGAGACTTGAGATCTTGTTCCCTTTCCGCCTGACAAACGGACGGTTGATTGTCGATGGGTGTACACTGTTAAGTTTAATCCAGATGGTTTTGTTGAGCGTCTCAAAGCTTAATTTATTGTTAAGGGTTTCACTCAAACATATGGTGTTGATTATGCAAAGACATTTTCACCCGTTGTCAAAATCTCCTCTATGTGTGTTTTAATTTCTTTGGCTGTTAATCTTGGTTAGCCCCTGTTTCAGTTAGATATTAAGAATGCATTCTTGCATGGTAACTTGGTTGAGGAAGTCTACATGGAGCAGCTACCTGACTTTACTGCTCAAGGAGAGTATTGTAGGAGTGTGTGTCGACTGAAGAAATCTTTGTATGGTTTGAAACAGTAATCAAGAGCATGGTTTGGTAAATTGTTTGATGCAATATTAGAGTTTGGTCTTCTTCGATGTTAGACAGATCATGCTGTTTTTCACAGATAGACAGATGCAAGGTACATTCTATTGGTGGTTTATGTTGATGATATCGTAATTATTTGTAATGATTATGAGGGTATTACTAAGTTAAAAATATTTCTGCAAGATAAATTTTATACGAAAGATTTGGAAAAACTTAGGTACTTCTTGGGTATTGAAGTTGTCAGATCTAAGCAGGATATCTGTCTATCTCAGAGGAAATATGTACTTGACATGCTAGAAGAGGTAGGTTTACTCGGTAGTAGACCAGTTGATAGTCTTATGGATCCAAATCAGAAGTTGTTGATGGATGATGGTGCTCTATTTGATAGCCTTGGTCAGTATCGCAGGTTGGTTAGGAAGCTTAATTATCTCACTATTACCCAACTAGATATTGCATATACAGTTAGTATGGTAAGTCAATTTATAGATATCTTAGAGTACCACATTGAGATTCAGTCATTCGTATTCTTTGATATCTCAAAAGTGTTCTTGGTTTTGGATTGTTATATCGAACCAATGGATATCTTCGAGTGGAAAGTTTTTCGGATTCTGATTGGGTTGGTTCTCTATTTGATCGGCAGTCAAATACTGGTTATTGTACCTTCTTGGGAGGTAATGTTGTTTCATGAAAGTAAAAAATATACATTGGTAACACGATCCAGTGCTGAGGCTGAGTATAAAGTAATGACATATACGACCAGTGAATTGATATAGTTACTACACTTTATTCGGGAAATTGGTTTTCTAGTTCAGCTACCGTTACAACTGTTCTGTGATAATCAGACAACCATTCATATTATTGTCAATCCAATGTTTCATGAGAGAACCAAACATATTGAAGTTGATTGTCATTTTATTCAAGACAAGATACTAAGTGGAGACATTGTAACTCATTTTTTGAGATCTGAGACTCAACTTGACATGTTCACCAAAGTATTGAGTCGTTCTCGTCTTGCGGATATTTGTTCCAAATTTGGATTATATGATATTTATAGTCCAGCTTGAGGGGGAGTGTTGAGAAAATTACTATAATATAATCAGGTTTACGTTTGTTGTAATATGTATACCACACAAAGGGTATACTCGTCTTTTATTTCTTCGTTCAGTAACTATAAATACAACTTTAATAGTGAGAGGTAGGGTAAGTCAAAACCACTATTTGCTTCTCTCATATTATGTTAAACTTCGCACCAAACTTAATAGAAACAAAATGTTTTGACCATTTCGAAACGAAATTTAATTCCCTGATCCCGTCAATTGACATACTAGGCCGATGTGTGTCCAAATGGAGCTTGCATGTATTTTAGATTGGAAGTATTGATATCATTTAGTTTTGAAGATTTTTCTTTTTATGTTCGTATTAAGTAATTTATGTATAGTTCACTTGAAGGTGAGCAGACTGTATTATATCCTTGAGCACCGTAAATTGTTAAATATGGTTGTATATACTGTGAAGACATAAATCTACTTAATATATCTGCTATTGTTTTTGTACGTGCATGGATGAGTCTTTAGATTCTCCCCCAACTTGACAATTTAAACTAGGGGGAGCAACCTGTGCAAGGTTAAGGGTCAACCCAGACTCGAAACACTCGAGTGGAGCTCAACCATAACTAGAGCCTAACGCGAACTATTCAACCTGATTATTGCACATATTTAAATTTTTGAAATCTTGGTTGAACTTGTTTACAAGATTGTAGTTGAAATTTGGTTCCAATTTGGGTTTCTTGAATTACCCTTATTTATGTTCAAATTCGAGTCTCACAATCATTTGTACAGAGGAACAAGTTTAAAGAAAATATGTTTCGGACAATCAACTATTTGACCTATTTATCATTCACATCTGGGCATAGTTTTTTCTTGAAATTTTTAAAAATAATCAGTGTGAGCATGTTTTGGTTTATTAGGTTGAACCCGAGTTATGCAATTCCGGATGGATTGTTGTTTATTTGATCAACACGATTATTGTGCCTGAGTATCGTTTAAAAGTAGGTTGACATTTTTTTTATCCAAACCTAACTCCAATATTGTAAGTATCTGCTTATTGATTTTTCAACTCGGGATTGGGATATATTCGGAATAGCCCGTCCAAGTTGCACCTTTCGTGGAAACCTATTTGGACCTCATGAGAATATATTGGGATGTATGGACAAATAAACTTTTGTTATTATTCTTAGGTTCGACCAAGTTAAAAAAAACTATCACTATTGTTTTTGTGGTTGCTTTGGTCATATTGTTGGTGTATTTATTTTCTTTTAGGTATGATGAAGAAGAAAGAGTGATGGAAAAGGAGAAAATATTTTTCGATATTTGGTTATTGTGATAGTAAAGAAAGGTGTTATAAACTTGTAATTTGAGATGATGTAGCTCTAATGAAGCAAATGAAATAGTAGGATTCATGTAGCTGAACTTGAAATAATTGGAACAATTTTTTGCTGAGTTAAACAAATTAATTTTTGTAGAAAATTTTTGGAAAAACTTTTTGCTCTTTCTCCCTTTTCGCACGTCTCCTTCTCTTATCTTTGAGAGGCTTGGAATCACGGTTGCATCATGTTTCTTCTATATGAATCTGAAGCCTAGAAGATGCATTGCACCTAGTCTTTCTAATGTTCTTCTCTTTTCTTTGATCTGTAGATATAGTGACCTTTAGTGCACCAAGAGGGTGTATCCAATGTAAATAAGCTACATACAAAACTAAGAAAGTGCAAAAACAAACACAACTAGAAAACCTATACCAAACACAAAAGGAGTCCAAATCTAAGAAAACTACATAAATCTAACTCTCCAAGCTCCTCAAAAAACCAAGAAAGTTGTCCACAAAAATAAAGCCTTTCTCCAAAACCAATAGGAAAGAAGTCTTTGGAAGCCTCTCTTTAGCCCAGATGCCTCTATGTATTCAAAAGTGCCAACAATTTTGCTCCAAGCAAATTATGATAGTAGCAAGGTTTAATTGAACAAATCATTTTGTGAGTTGAAATAATCTCCAATAGCATACTTTGAGAGATTCACTCAGGTCATGTTTAGATATGGTTGGTGATCATATTTAATTTGTTAAGCATTTTCCTCAAGGAAAGGTGTCATTGTATATGATGACGATATTGTGCTCAATGGTGATGATGTAAGGAGATTGGGAAATTAAGGACAAACATGACCCAAGAATTTGAGGTAAAGGATTTCAAAAGTTGAAGTATTTCGTGGGTACTGAGGTTGCGACATCTAGATGGAGTATCTTCATTTTACAACAGAAGTATGTGCTTAATCTACTTAAGAAGAGACAGCATGTTAGGATGCAAGCCTGTTGACACTTCAGTGAAGCAAAATCATAGGTTAGGATAGATGGTTGATGATATTCCTACTGATAAAGGCCGTACCAGAGACCAATGGGTAGCCATATTTATCTTTCTCTTTCTTGTCCAAATATTGCTTATGCAGTCAGCGTGGTAAGATAGTTTATGCATTCATCTCTTTGACTCCCATGTGGAGGTGGTTTATAAAACCCTGAGGTATCTTAAACTAGCTCTTTGTAAACAGTTACGTTTTGGTATTAGTCTTGAGGTGCCGATGAGTTCACATTGTGATAATATGGCAATTAGCACTGCTCACAACCCCGTGTACCACAACAAACCAATCATGCTGAGGTTGACTGACACTCCATTAAGGAAAATTTGAATACTGATTTGATTTGTACTCCATTTGTGAAGAGCTGGGGTTTGGGGGGGGGGGGGCAGCAGCTTGTAGATATTTTTACAAATGAAGTATCTAGTGTAGTGTTATTTTTAGTTATTGGCAAGTTGGGCATGCACATCATTATACCAGCTTGAGGAGGAGTGTTAGAAGTGTTCTAGTATTTTATCTTTATTGTTATGGGGGGTATCTTTGTGAGCATAATGTTTTACCCAAAAATATTTCAGAGGAAGAGAACCCTAATACTCTCTTCTCTCTTTCCCAACAACCTCTCTTCTCTTCCTTTCTTCTTTTCCATAGTTTATACTACTTCAACTAGCCTACTCTCAAGCAGAAGAAAGGACTAAAACTCAGTCTTACCCATTTTGTCAACATCATCATTTTTAAGGACCTTACAGGATTAATGACTAGCATATGCTAGGTGATACATCGGCTTCCTGTGGGTCCCACTTCCATATGGTTGCATATTTTTCTGTTGCTGTACTCAACCCAAATATCCTTATCTATGCGACATTATGGTGTTATCTATTGCCTTCTCTCATTATGCTTTCCTTTTAGAGGATTGTTTGTAATAAATACGGCAATTTTGTGTTTTTTTGTGTTGCAGATTGGCATTCTTGCTTTGTTTGCCAAAAAACGCCAAGTTTTCATTGTTATTTCTGTCCAAATGCCATGTGCCAACGTTGCATTGCCAATACAGAGTTTTCACCTTTTAGAAGGAAGAAAGGATTCTGCAATAACTGTCTGAAGCTTGCACTACTTGTAGAAGATAACATGGATGTTGACTCTGATGGGGTATGAATAGCAAAAGCTGCATATTACAATCTGTAAAAGACATTGAATGCTGTGTAGCTTGGTTATTGCTTGATTGCTTAATTTTCTTGGCATGATATCATGATCATAAAGAGGAAGTTCCTTGTTACAAATGCTTGAGACGTATGAACTACTAGAGCTTATCTCACGATGATGTAATAACCCATCATAAACTAGTGTATGAGTCTTGTGGGCCTCTTTACTCATTGCCAGTTGGTTTTGAGTTGAATGCTTTAACAAAGTCATGCAATAATCAGAGCTTTGTTGGTCAGCTAACGACACACTATGCAGAAAAAATCAATAAAGTTAATATGATCAGTGTATATTACAAACATGATCATATATAACTACTGCAGTAATATCACTTTGCATGTGATATATTGGTTGAAAAGTATGGTGAGCAAGAATAATGTTTAGTTTTTGTGTATACGAAACAGTTATGAGATGTCTGTGAGAACGGGCATTACTTCCTTGGATTTGACTATGAATATGGCTTACCAAAGAGCTGAGTCAGAGGATAAGTATTTTTGCATCTCTCACTCATATGTTCTATTTGTACTGCTTTTGAACAGGAGAAGGCAGTATTTTTATTCCCAGAAAAAGAAAGGAGGTAGAGATAGAGGTTGATGGAAGAGCAATGCCATGCGCATCTTTTGACTGTATAATGCAAGATGTCGTGCATAAGAGTTTGTTATTCTATGATTGATGGAAAGCATGGATAGCATTTTTTCATGCAATGTAACCTTTTCCATCAAATGGCATTTATTGGCTTGTCTATATCGCGGAGTTATCCTTATGTCCTTTAAACACGTTTTTTGGTTATGACAGTTGTTATAATAACGTATATTAAATTACGCCATTGCTCTTGCATACTTTGTTTCTCAAACCGCATAAGAGTAATGCAGTTGGAAATAGTCCGATCCTTTGTAGGAACTACCCATAATAACGAACTTGCAAAATGGATTTGTTTATCATAACGAGATTTGTTGTTCCTAACCCTGCTTCACCTTAATTGTTATTTGAACAAGTAAAAGTTCTGTCTTGTTCCGAGTGGGGATAGCATTTCTCTTTTGCATGTCCATGGAGTTTTGAAAAAATAGTCGGATTCTTAAGAGCTTTATATTTGGATGTCTGCAGACCATTGCATATGGAAGACAATTTTAAGTTACTTGATCTTTGTTATAGCTGAATAAGAGAGGGGAAAAAAAAGAAGAGACGAAAGAACAAATAAGGAGGAAAAGGATCAGCTAATGATTAAGGATTTTTTTGTAATCCATAGTTCTATAGTTTTGTACTCATATTGCTTAATTGTATCACTAGAATTGCCTACTTAACTCTATCTTTAGGAGTTAGGGTGTGTCTAAAAATGTTGTCAATTGAATTGAGTTGATCAAAAGAAGTGAATCTGGCACGCGTAGATTTATAAACTTTGCTATATCATTACGCAAAACGTGATTTTGACTAGCATGTTTCCTAGCCCTTAATGGTGGGGTTTGTTAATGCTTGCTGCTTTGCAGGAGACGGTGGACTTCAAAGATCGTGAAACATATGAGTGTCTGTTCATGGAATATTATGAAATCATCAAGAGGGAGGAAGGTCTCTCTGCAGAAGATCTCCGTTCTGCAAAGGCTCAATTGAAGATGTCAGAGAACTACAACTCCAGCTCCGAGTCAGATGAATATGACCAAGATGAAGAAAGTCCACTGGTTTTTGATGAAGACTATATGGATGATATAGAAGAGCACAAGCCAAATCATAAAAGGAAGAGATACAAGGCACAGCAATCCACGATGAAAATAAAGGTCAAACCAAATAGAAAAGAATTTATTGGTTGGGGGTCAAAACCTCTCATACAATTTCTTGCGTCGATTGGTAAAGACACAAGTGAAAAATTATCTCAAGATGATGTTACTACTATCATAAATGGATACATTAGGGAAAACAAGCTTTTCCACCCAAAGAAAAAGAAAAAGATTGAATGTGATGCTAGGCTACGGACTGTTTTAGGACGGAAAATGGTGAACAAACATAGAATATATGACATTTTAGAAGCCCATCTTGCCGAGAACCAGGAACTGTCAGAGGAGGATGGACCCGGATACAATTCTGAAGACAAGAATGACGTCTTCATAGCCTGTAAAAGTCATAGGAAGTCAGCTATGGAGAGAAAAATCCAGAAAGAGGTGGTGGAATTCAAAGTCCCACAAAGCTGTTTTGCATCAATTGTTGCTGAAAACCTTAAGCTTGTCTACTTGAGGAGGAGTTTAGTGCATGTACTATTGAAGCAACCTGAAACCTTTGAAAGCAAGATAGTGGGAAGCTTTGTGAGAGTCAAGTCAGATCCAAATAATTACTTTCAGAGAAACTCTCATGAGCTCGTGCAAGTCACAGGTTGGTCTTGATATATATACCTGTTAACTTGATTATTTTGAGCTGGACTTTGTCTTATGCATTTGTTGAGAGTCAACGGTATGATTGGCTGTTACTAACATCGATAAACTGCAGGATTTTAGAAATTGCTCTCTTAAGTGAGGTTTGGTTAATGTTGTTTCCTTTATAACTGTAAGGTATGTCTCCAATATATAGCATTATTAGTGATTGCACCAGCTAGTTTGGGGAATATGACATTCTCGAGACTTGTACTACTGATAACTGTTACATGGTCAGTTTCATTAACTTGAGATAGATATGAGTGAAAAGGGATCCAAATTAAGTGTAGAGCCCCGTATATATATAGCCAATGAAAGTTACAATAAGGATAAAAAGGTAAAAAGAGAAAACTTAATAAGCCCTAATAAACTAGGCTGCTGTTATATCTCCAACACTTCCCCTCAAGCTAGGCGCGAAAATGTCAACTAAGCCAAGCTTGACAACGGAGTCCCAAAGAATGGATAGAGTGACAGGTTTGGTAAAAACATCCACATCCTGATCACTGGTCCCCACGAACGATGGAGTGACAATACCATTGCTAACCTTCTCTCGAAGAAAGTGAACATCAATCTCTATATGCTTTGTCCTCTCGTGTAATACAGAGTCAAAAGTGAGCTGAATAGCAGATCAATTATCACAATATAATGTAGATGAAGAAGTTACTGAAAATCCCAACTCGCCAAGAATCGATCCTAGCCAGATAATCTCACATGTGCCAAGTGCCAAGTGCCAGTGCCCGATACTCTGCCTCTGCTGACGAGCGAAAGACAACTGACTACTTTTTGCTCTTCCAAGAGATAAGATGAGTCCCTCGAAAAGTACAGAAGCCCGTAGTAGATCGACCGTCATGTGCTCTCCCATAATCTTAATCTGAATAACATGCTAGAGAACCAGTCTAAGATCCTGATGCATAGAACAACCCAAGTGCAGGACAAGACTTGAGGTATCGAAGAATATGATAAACTGCATCAAGATGAGGCTGACACGGTCTGTGCATGAACTGACTAACTCGGCTGACAGCAAATGAAATGTCTGGCCTAGTGTTAGCTAGGTAGATAAGTCTACCTACCAACCTTTGATAGACAGTCGGATCTCTCAATTTCTCACCTTCAGTAGTCAGTTTCAGGTTTGGAATCATGGGTGATGATGCCAGTTTGCACCCCAGCATCCTTGTATCTGAAAGAAGATCCAGAACATACTTTCTCTGAGAAAGAACAACACCCGTGCTGCTACGGGCAACCTCAATCCCAAGAAAGTATCGTAGAAATCCAAGGTTCTTCACATCGAAAGCCTTCTCAAGGTCTACCTTGACCTGTGCAGTCCCAGAAATGTCATCCCCAGTAATAATAATATCATCAACATATACCAAAAGGATAATACACTGTCCAGAAGTATTCCGCCGAATAAAGCAAGTATGATCAGAATGACATCTGGTGAACCCCAAACGTACGACTACATCACTAAAGCGAGAGAACCAGGCTCATGGTGACTGTTTCAGTCCATAAAGAGATTTACACAGTCGACATACCTTTCTAGCATACTCCCCCTCACCACAAAAGCCTAGTGGTGCATCTATATAAATAATCTCGTCCAGATCACCGTGAAGAAACGCATTCTTCACATCTAACTGATGAAGAGGCCAAGAGTACTCTGCAGCTAGAGAAATAACCAATCGAACAATAGTCAATTTTGCCATGGGGGCAAATGTAGCACCAAAATCACGACCTGGTACCTGAGTAAAGCCCTTCGCCATAAGTCTAGCCTTGTGACGATCAATAGTACCATTCGCAAGAAACTTCAGGGTGTAAACCCAGCGATAGCCAACAGGCTTCACCCTTGAAGGTAAAGAGACAAGATCTCATGTATGATTACGCTGAAAAGCGTTCATCTCCGTCTGCATGGCAAGAATCCACTGGGGCTCCCGCATAGTCTCCGAAACAGAGCGAGGAATCGGCGTATCTGATAAGGCCATACTATAAGCTCGAAATGTAGGAGTCAAATCACCATAAGAAACATAAGCAGAGATTGGATATAAAATCCTGGTGGTCCAACCATAACGATCAACTGGACGGCGATCACACCGTGGATAACGACGCTTTAAATCATCATCCTCCACTGACAATGTCTCTTCAGGTAAAACAACTGACTCAGTACCTGCAATCTTGTCAGTACTAACAATAGGGGCATCAATATGCTCAACAAACTGAAGAGTATTACCTGCATCGCCTGAGGTAGAGGGGACATCAGCAGGGGGATAAGAGCGAGGGCGACAAACATAAACCTGCAAAGGAAGAGAGTCTGGTGACTCTGTACCAAGGATAAGTGGCTCTGGAGAAGGAGATACCGATAACTCTGTAGTGATAGTGACCAATGACTCTAGCTCCGGGGGTAATAGAAAATCAAAAGAAGTATCATCAACTGGAGGTGCAGACACAAGATTGGAAGAAAAATAAGGAATATGCTCAAGAAAGGTAACATCTAGACTGTGATACATACGGCGCCTAACAGGATATAACACCGATACCTCTTAGACTAATTGCAATAGCCCACAAAGACACAACGAATTGCTTTATCATCAAGTTTATGACGAGTAGGAGACCGATCCTGAACAAAATATGTGCATCCAAAAACACGAGGAGGGATCGAAAAAAGTGTTTGCTCAGGAAATAAAACCTGTAAGGGAGCCCTATGACGAAGAACTCGACTTGGCGTACGATTGCACAGAAAGGTAAAAGTCAAAATAGCAAAATGCCAATAAGATTTTGGCACCCCCATGCCTCTAAGCATATAACGTACCATCCCTATCAGACTCCTATTTTTTCTTTCAACAACGTCATTTTGTTCAGGAGTATATGGACAAGTGAGTTGTTGAAGGATACCTTGAGAAGAAAGGTGAGACACTAAGGCATCAGACACATATTCCTTGGCATTATCTGAACGAAGAGCACGAACAATGACATCGAATTGTGTCTTAATCATCTGCAGAACCTAAGTGATTATAGGGAGTACATCAGACTTCTTAAGCAAAAGGTAAACTCAAGTACAACGGGTATGGTCATCTATAAATGTTACATAGTATCGGGCACCTGATAGAGCAGTAACAGGAGAGGGTCCCCAAATATTAGAGTGTATTTGGTCAAATGGGTTGGGTGACTGGTGCATGCGAGGAATATAACTGGTCCGAATATGTTTTGATAGGGAACATATAATACAGTCAAGTTTACCACTAACACAAACTTTGCTCAAAGTAGGAAATAACATACATAAATATTTAAAATTTGTATGCCCAAAATGGTCATGCCACAACTGAACAGTTTGTGATGAAAAATCATAACGACAAGTGCTAGGTAAAATACTAGCATGCAAGTTAGGAACAGATAAAGACAAAGTAGGTGATGGAGGTGGAGGTGGAGAAACTGGTGAAACCGGAGGTGGATCGCCTAAATAATACAGTCCACCTCTCTCATGTCCCCTGATAATAATCCTCCTGGTACTCAGGTCCTGCAAATAACACGAATCAGATAAGAACACAACTGCACAGTAAAAATCTCTGGCTAACTGATGTACAGACAGTAGATTCATGGCCAGCTTTGGCGTATGAAACATCGAACGTAATGTAAAATCATCTGGGAGACGGACTGTACCCTTACTAACAATAGGGGCATGTGTACCATCTGCTAACTGAACTTGAGTTTGTAACTTCTCGTCAAAAGAGGTGAAATGATGGGCCTCACCTGTCATATGACCATTAGCACCCGAGTCCAGCATCCAAAGGGGGGACGGACTGGCGCAAGTATGAAGGCACGAGGTATACTTGTAGTAGTCGCAGCAGTAGTAGTCGGACCTCGAGAAGTCAAGGCTGGCATAAGTATATTCAAGCGAGAAGTGATAGCATCTATATCACTCTTCCAATGAGGAGTAGTAGCAGGAGCAATGACTGTAGGTGGTGGTGCCTTACCAATGGCAGCTGTACGACTACGAGAAGGCGGCTTAATCTTCGGATGGAGCTTCCAACAAATAGCCCTGAGATGTCCTAGTCGGCGACAATAATCACACTGACGAGAATCCCCATATCTACGCTGATGTGGGGTACCCTGACAGCGCTGGGCCGAGCACTGTCGACCCCTGTACCCGGTGGAAGTACTAACAAATGTCTCAACGGTAGGGGTCTCAATTCCCTCAATAGTAGTCATATCATCAATAATACTAGGGCACTCATGACATAAAAACAACTCTAAAATAAATAGAGAGATAAGATAAGAGAGAATAATATACCTCCAGTTGAACAGTAGCAACATATAAAGAAGGTTCAGAAAGCTCCCAATTAATCAGGTCACGGTGCCCAGAAATCCAATAAATATAAATAGATGATCTATTGCATCAAGAGCATATCAACGGAGAAGAGGATTCAACCCCTCTTAAAAGGGTGGAAAAAGAGAGTAGTGGCGGGCAACACTACGACAAATAACGTGGCGCACAAAGGTAAAACACGAAACTGCGAGAAAGAGCGTGGTCCGTCAATGGGCTGGTTGGGCTGATTGGGTACTGGGTTGGTTGGGCTGTTTAGGTTCGTTTGGGCTAATTGGGTACTGCGGCTGATTGGATTTTAGACTCATTTGGGCTTTGGGCTTTGGTTTATTGAGACGGTGATGGCAGTCTGTATTGTTTTGTGTTGATTTTGCTTGGGTTTTGGAACGACAAATAATGTTCGGTGTTTGTTTACTGGAAGGCAGTGGGTGGGTATGTTTTCGTTGTTGGGATATTTTGGTGGTAAGTGTTTTCTTGGTGTTTGCTGGCTATGGTCTGAATTGTTGAGCAGTTTGGTGTGGTTCGATGCTGCCTGGGTGGTTCGGTGCTGCCTAGGTGGTCTGAATTGTTGAGGAGTTGGGTGGTTTCGCTGGGTAGGTTGTTTGCCGAGGACGGTGGAGTGAATTTATGGCAGTGGGAGTGTTGTTGGCAGTTGGGTGGTCTG